TCAACTTAGATGACCTATTGATGTAAGTGGGGTATTCAAGTCCCCTACTATAATTATATTTTTATCAACTAGTTCCTTTATTAACTGTTTTATGCATTTGGGGGCTCCCATGTTGGGTGCATAAGTATTTACAATTGTTATATCTTGTTGGATTGTCCCCTTTTTTTATTATTCAGGGCCCTTCTTTGTCTCTTGTTAAAGTCTTGATTTAAAGTCTATTTTCTCTGATGTAAGTATTGCTACTCAGGCTTTCCTTTGACAACTTTTTGCATGATAAATGTGTCTCCATTTCCTCACTTCAATCTGCAGGTGTTTTTAGGTCTGAAATGAATCTCTTCTAAACAGCATATAGATGAGTCTCTTTTTAAAAAATCTGTTTTGTCACTCTATGTCTTTTGATTGGAGTGTTTAGTCCATTTACATTTAAGTAATTACTGATAGATACATATTTATTGCCATTTCATTACCTGTTTTGTGGTTATTTCTGAAGATTTTCTCTGATCCTTTCTTGTCTTATCTGTTCAATGGTTTGCCAGTTTTCTTTAGTAATATATTTGGATTTCTTTCTTTTTATTCTTTGCATATTTATTAGTGATTTTTGATTTGTGGTTACCATTTGGTTTGTATATAATATCTTTTGCACATAGCAATCTGTATTAAGTTGATGGTCATTTTACTTTGAACCCATTCTTTCCTTACTCCTCTCCTTCCCATGTTTTAAGTATTTGGTGTCATATTTTACATGCTTTTTTTTTTTTTTTGTGAGGTCCTTGACTGATATTTTACAAAAATATTCATTTTTAACACTTTTGTGTTTCCTACCTTAGTACTGTCACTGTTGGTCTTTCCTTTCCACTCAAAGAGTCCCCTTTAATATTTCTTTCAGGGCTGGTTTAGTGGTCATGAACTCCTTTAGTTTTTGTTTGTCTGGGGAACTCTTTATTTCTCCTTTTATTCTGAATGATAACCTTTCTGGATAGATTATTCTCAGCTGCAGATTTTTCCCATTCAGCACTTTGAATATATCATGCCATTCTCTTCTGGCTTGGAAAGTTTCTGCTGAAAAATTCACTGATAGCCTTATGGGTTTGTATGTAACTATCTTTTTTCTTGTTGCTTTAAATTTTTTTTCTTTATCACTATATTTTGTCATTTTCATTATATTTCTTGGTGTGGATCCGCTTTTGTTGATATTTTTGGGGAGTTCTCCGTGCCTCTTGGATCTGGATATCTGTTTCCTTTCCCAGATTAGGGAAGTTTTCAGATATTTTCTCTTCAAATACATTTTCTGCCTCCTTTTCTTTCTCTCTGGGACTCCTATAATGCTAATGTTATTGGATTTGATGGAGTCACTGAGTTCCCTAAGTCTAATCTCCTTTTGCACAATTCTTTTTTCTCTCTTTTGTTTAGCTTGATTACTTTCTATTACTCTATCTTTTAGGTCATGTTCCTCTGCTTCTTCCAGCCTGCTGTTCATTGCATCAAGCTTTTTCCTGATCTCATTTATTGCACTCTTCATCTCTGACTGGTTCTTTTTTTATCTCTGTCTCACTGGTGTCTTCCACTCTTTTCTCAGGTTCAGCGAATATCCTTATGATCATTGTTTTAAATACCCCATCAGGCATGTTATTTGCCTGTTTCACTTAGATCTCTGGCCATGGCCTTGTCCTTTTGTTCATTTGGGACAAATTTTATGTCTTCCTATTTTGTCTAAGTCTCTGTGCCTGTTTCTCTGTGTTAAGAAAGTCAGCTACGTCTCCTGTTCTTCAGGGTAATGGCCTTACAAAGGGGAGGTCCTGTAGTGCCCTGCCATGGAGGGTCCCTTGTTCCCAGGGCCTGGCACTTCCAGAAGTGTCTACAATGTGTGCTGCGTGTGCTCTGCTGTTTTGTCCTAACTGCTTTACCCTTCAGGCCACTCATCTACAGAGGCTTTCTTTGCCTGTTATAGGCAGCGTATGGTCCCTGGCCTGAATGTGGTGCGTTTTAACTAGGTGTGCTCTAGTGTGCTTGGGAGATGAGACCTGTCATCACTCACCAGAACTGAAACTTCACAAAACTCTCGGGTTGGGAGATGCAGTATGAGTAGGGGTTTTGGCTGGGCTTCTGTGCAGAGGGCCCACAACACTGGGACTGAGGCAACCCAGACTGGGAAGCGGGGTTCACTAGAGCATGGTGGGGGGCGGGGGTCTCTCCGTGGATGCTGCCTCTCTGGGACTTGCTCTGAGATGAGCAAATAACCTCTCCACTGTGTGCCCCAGGCAGTTTTCAGATTGCTATTTCAAGTCTGTATGTCTGCAGGCTATTTACCCTGCCTTCTTTCCAAAGAGCAGCCCCAATGTCCCAGGGCTCTCATTGAACCAAGCTTGCTGATCTTTAGAAGTCTAGGCTTTAAGCCCCTTTCCTTGAAAAAACACAAAATTTGGCCCCTCTCATTTCCAAGCCAATTGCTATGGGATTTATTTTCCCCATGCACTCCCCTGTGTGCTAGTCTGTCTCTCGCCCTTCTCTGCCACCACATTTTCCTCCCCACTACAGAGGTCAGCATCCATTTTTCTTCTAAACTGCGTCTTTGCATTTCCTACTTTCTTCGATGAGGCCTCTTCTCTACCTTTATTGGTGGAGTTTGTTCTGCCAGTCATCAAGTTGATTTCTAGGGTATTTAGGATGATTTGATAGTTATCTTGTTGTATTTCTGGGACAAGGTGAGCCTAGGGTCCTCTTAATCGGCTGCCGCATTCCCACAGCCTACTCATTTTTAGGATTGCTTTTTCTTAGTATTTAATGTATTTCATGCAGTTGCATAGAGTTTTTTATTTGCTAGTGCATAAAAATGCAGTTGATGGCCATTTCTCTAAAATTTTCCCTAAATTCATCTATTAATTTGAAAAATTTTCCAATAGATCCTTTGGATTTTTTCATTAATTCATTAGTTATATTTATTAGATTAATTAATATAAACTAATTTTATAATTGATCTATTAATTTCTTTCAAATCCTTATGCCTTTTATTTCTTTTTCTTTCCTTCCTCCATTGATTATTTGTGGCAGAATGTTAAATAATAAGCATATCCAACTCGTTTTCAACTTCAAAAGGAAATTTTCAACATTTCACTATCAAATGTGAAGTTTGCTGTAGAAGCCTGTATAAATAACTTTTGCTTCACCTTTATTTTTGCTATATTATATTATAGGTTGGTTGTAATTTTCTTTCAGCACTTTAAAAACATCATTCCATTCTCTTTTGGCTTCTACTGCACTGGACTGAAATGACTTACCTATATCTTAGTATGTGTTTCCGAATAAGGCCAGAGGCAGTTTTGATTTTAAACTAATTATATACAATAAGATTGATTTAATATACCATAAGATATATTATGACAAAATTGATAGCCTGCTTTTTGGCCTGTTTATCTGTATGCATGGAGACAAAATAAAATCTTCATTAAAAAAATGAAACTGTACTATTGCTATTAGCTTATTGCTATTTCTTGTAAGTGTATGCAACCAGTAGAATTGTGATCTTTAAAATGTGGGATTCTGATTCTCTGGATCTGGGTAATTATTTCATTGGGACCTGTGACTCGTTTTTCCATTTTCTCTTTTTATGGCTCAGTATGTACTTTATTTCTAGTCTAGAAAAGTAGGGATAGAGAGCCAAATAAAATAAATAAGAAACACAACTTTTAAAGTATTGAAGGAAGTAAGTTTAAATTTCTACACACTGTTTACATATGATTATGTGAAATGCATCAGATGCATCATTCTTTACCAAGTGTTTATAGTGAGTGCATATTCTAAAGAGTCCATTAACTAGTATGTTCATTTCTAACTTGATGATTTGGATCGTGATAAAACTCCAGAATCTGCCGCTATTCCAGAACATCCATTAAGCTTTCTTCGGGAAAGTGACATACCATCGATAAAACTAAGTGTATGTTTTCTGTACTTTTATATGTACAATTTCCTGAAAGGAATGCTATTGATTACCAATTGATAAACAATTATACTACAACAAAGATAAAAATCTTAAGAATGACTTATTTTTTTGCAGTTTTTCACGAAGTTACAATATAAATTCTACAATATGTGAATTCAGGAGTCACATTGCTTGGGTTTGTGTTGTGTTCTATCTCTTACTATCTGTCTGTCTGACTTTCTTCATCTGCAAAATGGGCTTTATAGTAATTCTTATCTCAGAGCATTGTTGTAAGAATTAACATATTCTATGGCACACATTAAGTGCATAAATATTGGTATTGGTATTAATATTAATGATTGATAAATACTAAGCAATAGTGATTAAGTATTTTTCTATATACTTCCTGCCATAAAAGCATTTTAAAATTGTGCAGGTGAATATATTTTCTGGCTAGGGTAGTATTTAATACAAGTTTCTTTAAATATGCTGTGTGAGGGCGCCTGGGTGGCTCAGATGGTTAAGCGTCTGCCTTCGGCTCAGGTCATGATCCCAGGGTCCTGGGATCGAGTCCCGCATCGGGCTCCCTGCTCAATGGGGAGCCTGCTTCTCCCTCTGCCTCTGTCTCTCTCTCTCTCTGTCTCTCATGAATAAATAAATAAAATCTTTAAAAAAAAATAAATAAATATGCTGTGTGAGGAAAAGGACATAAATTTTAAGTACACAGTACGTACAATCTGGCATATATTGTGAAGTGTTCAATGGCAAAGGAAAAGTACTCAAATATGTTTCATATATTATTAAGTACTCAGAGTTATGGTCTATGTTTTGCCAAATTACTCATTACATTTACAGGTTTTCTTTAATAACCTTAAAAACCTAAATTGCATTTAAAAGGCTTAGATTTAAAATGCATGCTTGATTTTAAAAATGAGAGAAACCGCCGCTCTGTTTAATTTAAAATATTGTGAAATTATAGTTTCAACTTTATTTTTAATAAGAAATATTTGATAAATATCTAAGTTTCACATATATTTTTAAAACATTATAAAATGACATAAAATGAAAGAATTTCACTTCTTGCCTTTGATCCAGAAGAAATCCAATGGAGGTCAATGTCAGGATAATGAAGGCAACCCTCAGAAGGAGTGTGACCTGTGATAGTGCCTGTTGAGGAAATACAGACACCAACAAATTCTTTAGAAGAGTTCCTAAAAGGAGTATCAGAATTTAAAGGTGTCAAGAAAACCAGCCTCAAATTTTATTTTATATTACACCATTTGTCACTGACATTTTTCAAGAAGGTTAAATAAATACACAGAGGTTATTTTGGTTTTCCTAATGTCATTTAATTATCTTGCTAGAATGAATTAGACACTTTCACAGAGATATTGGCTTAAAGTGTTCTTTCTAAAAATTCTCCTTTATAGTTTTGACTTTCATAATTCTTTGAAACACCTATGTCCCCACATATGGAGAAATCACTTACATTTTTATGAATAAATAGCACATTCCAATAGCTATTTTTAATATCACTAATTCTTTGTGTTTCAAATCCAAAACTGTTTTTAATATGGAAAGTATTTAAAGGAGAATGTGTTTACGAGTGCAAACACATAAATGGAATATACTGTACAAATACATACTCATATTTGGTGAAATCTATAGGTTCATATGTACATGTCAAAAGTTATGTTTTAAATTATTGTAACAGAACATATTTTCAACATAATTATAAATTATGCATTTTGTTTACATGTCAAAATTTAATAATAATGTTTACTGAGCATCTACTATTTCATAGCTTCTATGCTATATGTTTCATATACTTCAATTCTTTTTATAGTCCCTACAACCTTACAGAAAAGGTATCATTATATCTGCTTCATATATGGAAAAACAAACCAGGAACGAAAGGATTAAGTAATTTTTCCATCATCACACAGAAATAAATGATGCCTCTGAAATTCAAAATACACCTTCCTGACCTCAAAGTGTGACAATGGTGGATAAATCTGAGCAACAAACTTAAAGGGGACGGGGGCAGAGATCTAAGCTGAGGTTACATAGCTACTATTTAGGGTCAGATGAATACTGCTTTAGTTTAAAAGTGAATCAGTAAAAGCAAGAAGTTGGATACACATCCCCTGAATGATTCCCCTACAGAAAGAGTGTTCTCATTAAGTGTGATACAACAAAGTAGCTAAAATAGTGATCAAAACCTTATGCAAACACTCTTTTTCTTTGCTTTTAATGAAATAACAAGAGGTAATTTCAACTCACTATTAACTAATATATACACCTAGAAAAATTGCATCTGTCCAAAGTTATAAACAATAAGCAAAAGCCACCAATTGCAACTGCTGTTCACATCCAATACCCCAGCTCCACGCCTCCTTATAAATCAACCCTGACCTCATGGCCAACTTATAACACCTCCCTATTCACCATCATATGCCTGGATGGCACCCAGAATTGACAGGGATTTAAAACAAAGCAATTGTTTAGTAGATGAGTATTGATGAGTAATCAAAAATATGAATAAAAAGTATCAGAATTTAGGAATATGGGGACAGAGCTAGGTATCAGATATGAGGGAAAGCTCAGTGGACACCAGAATGCTTTAGTGGAATGTTATTTGGGTATATGGAATTCAGCAGTGGCTGCTTTGGGACAGTGAGGCAAAAGTACCAGAAAAATATTTCTTGGTGGTGAAGTAACTAGGTGTGCTTAAGCAGATTAATGGTTGCTTAAGGGAAACATTTTGTCTGTAAAGAAAAATGTTGCTTTCGAGGCGCCTGGGTAGCTCAGTCGTTGGGCGTCTGCCTTCGGCTTGGGTCATGGTCCCGGAGTCCTGGGGTCAAGCCCCGCATTGGGCTCCCTTCTCCACGGGAGGCCTGCTTCTCCCTCTCACACACCCCCTGCTTGTGTTCCCTCTCTTGCTGTGTCACTCTCTGTCAAATAAGTAAATAACATATTAGAAAAAAAATTAAAAAAAAAAAAGAAAAATGCTGCTTTCACCACCACTGCTTCATTTTGATTCCTTAGGATAAAATTCATATGAGGGAAAGAAATGGTATGTGCCCAAAAACTACAGCATGATTTTAAATGCTCTGTAAGAATACAGGACTTGGAATTATGCATTGACTCTATGAACCATGTAACCATAGGCAAATTATTTGGCTAGTTTCTAAGGCTCTTTTATGTGTGTAGTACATTTGACGTAAGATGAGTTTGGCAGCAACTATAATAAGGTACTGAGAAGAGTGCTTGGCACAAAGCCAACTAATGGTTATGCTAGGAATATCATTGTTACTATTTTTAGGCTATACTGATTTTTCAAATGGTACTTAGGTTAACTTTAATGAATTACAATAAAATAAAGAAGCACAAATAAAAGGTCCATTAACTCTTTCCAATATCATTGGAAAATCATATATAGGATAAAATATATTTTTGAATTTTGGTTAGGGAATTTATGATCCCTTAACCGGAAAAAAAAAAAAAAAAGAAAAGGGAAATCCTCTTTGTGCAAATTGCTTCCTGGTTCCTGGAGTCAGAGTGAAAACCAACCTAATAAGTCTATCTAGCTACCTAGTCAATGCCTCTACCTAGCTAAAAGGCCCCTGAAACTTACCATGTCTAAAACTCTTGTTTGTTTCCTTCCTCCACACTACACATCTCCAGGTTTCTTCTTCTTAGAGTGGCACAAACAGTTTTTTAGTTGTTCAAGCAAAAACACCCCGAAAAACCAAAAAAGCAAAACAAACAAAAACTGTGACTCATCCTTGACACTTCCTCTCACTGTCTACTTCTAATACATTAGAAATAAAATGTTGGCATTATATTTGATACATCCAGGATAAAGGTATTTGTTACAAGCAGGTGTTTTGTGAACAAAAACTTATTCCAACCCAACATGATCTCCACCACAACTGAAATACTCTCTTAGCTGGTCTCCACTTCTAAAATTGCATGTCTACCTATCATGGCCTTCTACCCACAGTTTTACAGCCAGAATGCTGACTCTTTTTAAAGACATACATCATATCACATCATTATTATGTTCTAAAGCCTCCAGGACCTTCAAATTCTACTTAGAGTAAAACTCCAAGTCCCTACTCTGGCCCATACATAACCTACCCCATTATCATATTGTCCACTAGTAATCTCTCTTGTCTTTCATATTACAAATTTTGTTCTTCCTTGAACATGACAAGCATCCTTCCCCTTCAAGTCTGTTTTACCTACTGTTCCTTCTATTGGGGCAACTTCCCCCAGGGATCTTTATGGTTCATTCCTTCATTTCATTCTGGTACTATTCAAATGCACATACTTGTCTGTCATATGTAAAACAGTACTTTTCCATAACTATCTATAACCTTTTTCTGTTATATTGTTCTCCATGCAACACTTCTATACAATTATGCATTTACCCACTTATCACTTCTATACAATTATACATTTGTTTGAGCATTCTCTTGCTTTTTATTTTCTGTCCCACTAGATCCCCCACTAGGATGTAAGCCCCATTAGAGGTTATATTTTGTTATTTACTGTTACATCTCAAACATCTAGAACATTGCCTGGCGCATAGTTAGTACTCAATATGTTTTTGTTGAAAGATTGTTCAAGTGAATGAATATTTTATATCTGTATTTTAATATCCATGCCCTTAATATTAATAATTTACATTAACTGGTTTAATCAATAATTGAATATTATAACATTAAATATTTAATTTACTATTAATATTTTAGTTCTTTAAAATTAAAAATAAATTCTATTAAACAAGTTAATGATTTAATATTTCATAATTTGATATTAATAATTTAATATTCATATACAAAATATTTCAAAATGTTAAATTAATCTAAGAGGCAGCAACCTCAGAACTCAAGGTCCTACAGCAGTTGCTGGAAGATATCCATTTTTGACAGTTTCTTTCTTGGATGTTCAGTAAAACTATTTTGGGGCTCAATGAAGCCACTCTAAATTATCAATATTCACTTCAAGATCTCACTGAAATCTGGACACAAACTTTTGCTATACTTGTGATAGAAAACTCTTATTTTTTTTTTCACTAAGAAGCAAGTGAAAATATAAGCTCTATATCTTTCAGTTGTTTCTCAAAATACAAAAGAAAAGAGGTGTTAAAAGACAGTCTCCAAAAGACAAACTTTCTTTTCATGAGGATTACTTTTTTTTAAAAGATTTTATTTATTTATTTGAGAGAGAGAGAAAGAGCATGAGCTGGGGAGGGGGTCAGGGAGAAGCAGACTCCCCGCTGAGCAGGGAGCCTGATGTGGGGCTTGATCCCAGGACCCCGGGATCATGAGCTGAGCCAAAGGAGGATGCTTAACAAACTGAGCCACCCAGGCGCCCCTCTTTACATGAGGATTACTTTTAATGAGAAAATACAACTCCTCAGAATTGTACATTTTGACTTTGATTCTCCAAAGCTGAGTTAAAATGTCTAATCTTTACATATTTTTCATAAATACGAATGAGATATTAATTCAAATTACAAGCAGTTTTATGGTTGATTGTGTTTAGTATTATTATTAAAGGAGCAGTCTGATAGTGATCAAAGTTTGGGACAATACTAATAACATGAAGATATGTTTAATGTCACAGTTAATATTTAATTATTTGTGTAAATGATATTTTTAATGTGCAAAGTCCCACTTAATCATATTTTTTATTTTTTTATTTTATTATGTTATGTTAGTCACCATACACTACATCATTAGTTTTTGATGTAGTGATCCACGATTCAATATAGTGTACATAAGTTATTTTTTTTCAGGGCGCCTGGGTGGCTCAGTCAGGTAAGCGTCTGCCTTCAGCTCAGGTCATGATCGCTGCGATCCTGGGATCGAGCCCCCGTTGGGCTCCCTGCTCGGCGGGGTGTTTGCTTCTCCCTCTGCCCCTCCTCTCACTTGTGCTCTCTCTCTCAAATGAATAAAGAAAATCTTTTAAAAAATTATATTTTTCATTGTAACTCACGATAATCACTTTTCTGAGTTCCTGAAGCCTATGCTTATTTTAACTACCTAGTTAAAACATCCTATAGTACACACTTATTACATTTATTTCATTGCTTTCAGTTATCACTGATGCTCGTTTTGGCTCACATTTCCTTTTTTTCACATTACTTCGGTTAC